CTAGTAAACTAATTTAGATTCTTCTTTTATTATTCATCGAGATTATCATAAATCACAACTTTATAACTAATTATATATTTCGCCATAGGTATTAGAATAAACTAGACTTTAGAATTAGTAACGAAAATTTGAGAAGATTTCGATAGAATATTTATCAGATGTAAGACAAACGCATCATCCTTGAGCGATCGACAGATTTCTAATTACCTATGGAGAGTATTAAAAAAAAACTTCAAAAAAACGATCGATGTGTCAGAAGAAAGAGTGTAGTCAGGTTTTTGTAATATCACAAACGCATTCTAATGAGTAGGTCTCATCTCATTTTTGAAAAAACAGAAGTTAAATTTCTAACAAGTTAAAATGTTTATTTAAAGAAATGAAAGTTCATGCATCTTTAAAACATAAGACATGAGTAGAAGTCTTTTGAATAAATATCATACAAAAAGAAAAGTTTGTAGAAAACACTTCTATTCATGTTTTATGTTATATAGATGTCGAACTTTCATCTCTTTAAATAAATATTTTGACTTGTTAGAAATTTAACTTCTGCTTTTTTTTTTAAACAAAATGAGACCTACTCATTGGAATNGTTGAGATATACTGACATTTAGATATGCACTTCGAAAACTGGCACTTTTTAGGGGTTTCTGTAAAACCAGTATAAAACCTGAACGGCTCAATGGATTTTCAAAATTCTTTCACCAATATTCTTAGAACTCTTCCCTCTACAACATATCAGAAAATGAACAAGATCTGACGACCTCGATTGAACAGCCTCGGTCGTGGCTTACACGAACTGGCTCATAAGCATCCATAGTTTTTCCCGTAAGTACTCAATTCTTGACATAGGATAAGTATCTCGAATTCAGCAAATATAATTTTTTTTACGATGAAGTTGTCAGTTCATAGCAGTAAAACGATAAATACTTCTTCTGTAAACCGAGTGTATTTTTTTAATCGAATATTCCGTTATGAGAATAGAGATGCATCCAAATAGTATTTAAGCGCAATCTCCCTTTTTTATGAGTAGTTTATCCATAAGTTAGGCAGAGATATTTTCTGTTTCATATAAATCATATAGATGATCTTAAATCTTCACTTTTAAATGATTTTTAAGCGTTTTTTTAGCAATTGATTTTTCCGTAATGTTGACTTAAGAATTACTGTAGTTAGGTATATATTGAATCTGAGAATAATATTTTCACACTATATAATTACTTTATTTTTGCTTTAGCTGCATAGAGATGATATAACTGTTATTTGAAATAATATCATTCAGAATTTCTCCACAGCATATTCTTAATTCTAAAATATTTTAAATTTTCTGCTAAGTCCTTTTCTGCAACTAGACTTTTGAATATTAAGAAAATTATTTTTGGTGTATTGACCAGATGTTGTACACGTAGAAAATTTAAAGTATTCTAAAATTAAGAATATGCTTGAGAGAAATTCTGAATGCTATTATTTCAAATAACAGTTATATTATTTTCTTATATTTACGGTGAATACTTAGAATTCTGAACATTATTATTTCTATCCAATCGAACGTGTAATGTGATTTTGTAGAAACTTAACCATGAAATATATTGAGTAAAGAGCATCTCTGTGTGGCTAAAGCAAAATAGAAAAGTGAAACATGTTATGTACAAAATGTGCGTGTTTAGACATCATAAAATTTTCTTGACTTTTGTGGAAAAAAATTGGCCGTTTTTTGACATAATAAATTTTGATGCCAAAAATCTGTATGCACGGAGCAAACTACATAGCAAATTATAGACACTTTTTTAAAGGCCAAATTAGCATAAAAGGTGGTATGTTTGTCTGTTTGGGAAGAGAAGAGAAAGAGAAACACACATTATCAAAGCCAACAATATCAAGAAGAAATCATTTGGAGTATAGAAGGAACAAGAAGCAAAATGTAACAGTTATTACTCATTATAGAAAAAAGTTCGAATTACTTGTTGCTTTTCTAAACAATAGAGAAGAAATAGACTATTAACTGACGTTGATCACATGATCACATCTGTAGAATCTGAGGCCATCAGAATGAGTTGAATTATGAGCTCAAACTATCGATCGCTCGACATGCATTCAAGTTCTATATAATACAATTAAGAAAAATTCTTCTAGATCGATGAGTACCGAAGTTAGTACTGGCGCTCAATATCAAAATCGATTCACACATTTCATCAGGACTCTGAACCTCTTCGATGACGACGATGAATTGACTTTGGCTGCTCAGATTTTATCTACACGCGTTTTTATTGTTTCTCTTGTGATTGCTCTCTTTAGTGTGCTCTTATTTACTGGTATCAATCCTCAAACTCGTATAATCACTGTTTCTTCACCTTCTCTAAGTGATTTTGATAACTTCATCAATAGTTACACAACTACTCCTACTTGTCGCTGCTCGCTAGTGTCGATTCCTTATGAACGATTCTTTTCGTTCAATCCTCAATTTCATCCAGTTTGCTCGAGTGATTTGATCAGCGAAGAATGGTTCTCGTCTCTGTTCAATGCAACTACAAGCAATTACTATCCTCTCGATTTTCGTTTGACGGTCTCCGCACAGTTTCAAGTTTTATCTGTTCTCTGTCGAACCTCACATCAAGCCGTATTCGATGCTCTCTATGACTTTTCTGCAGCAACATTTGTTTCATCGCGTGCTCTGTCACGTGCCGCTTTCGATACTTATACGGACATCGTTGTTGATCAATTTAATAAAACTACTCTTGCGAATTTTCGTGTATACAATCGCTTTGTGTCATCCATTCTCGACGAATACCAATTCATATCTGCATTACGCACGAATTTCTATACTAGAAGTGTGCCTGGTAGTGACACTTATGTAACTTTTTCTGGCATCTATCCACAGCAGGTTAACCTGACTCAATCGCCGTTTATGTCGAGTGAAAAATGCCAATGTGATCGCACGAGCGATTGTGTCTATCCTGCTGGCATCTACAATCAAACACGGGTCATCGTTCCGAACGAGATTTTTTCACTTGATGCATCGCTTCTATTTGCGGTTCCGGGGTTTCAAGTGGGATGTGTACCTCAAAATGCATTGCTTCAATCGACATTGGAATGCTTCTATAATCAATCGTGCTTGGGCATGGTCATTTCGTTGACTGGCGCTCTTCGCACTGTCTCAGCACTGAATCTTTCGAGCTCTTTTTCACGATTTCATCCGACAACAACTATTGGTGTTATTTTTGATAATCTAATGCTTGAATCCTGGCAGAGTTCTACTGATTTCGCAGCCTATTTTCAAACATGTGCACCTCAAGCCTGTTCGTATTCGTACGTACAAAGATTCTTTTTCATTTACATGATCACAATTTTGATCAGTCTCTTTGGTGGACTAAGCGTGACATTGCGCATCGCGTCTCCTTTATTGGTGAAATTCATTTTACACTTATGTCGCCAATGGACTCGAAGGCTTGCAGCTGATGAAGAACGTGGGCCAAGCACAAGTAAATTCGATATCTACTTAAATAGATTTCTGTTTCTTCTGATATTTTTCTCTCCCTAGGTCTCCAAGATCGTGTACAGAATTTCGGTGGGCTAATTTATAACAAAGTAACTACATTCAATTTTTTCAAGCGGACTTTAACTAACGTTCAACATGGCATTTATTCTACTCGAGTCTATATCATATTGTTGATCATTCATGCTTACATTCTGGTTCTCTACTCTATTTCAATAGTTGGTTCACAACAAATCATCGTTGAAAATCCAAGTATAGATCAAGTTAAAGATCTTAATGGAATGTACTCATCGATTCTATCATGTCCATGTCATCGTTTATCGATGCCACGCTCAACATTCATGTACCATGAAGTACGCCTTCATCCATTTTGTACAAGTAGTTTTGTTCGCGACGATCATTGGCTCCAATATTGGACGATGACATTCCTCAATGGTACTATCGATCCTACTCCCCCATTTCATTCGGCCGATGTTCGCAAGCATGGATTGCAATTCTCACATTATACTAAGATATTCTGTGACTTTGCCGCTACAACTGTGTCCGACGCATTGAATGCATTCCAAACGGAGCACTTTTTCTCATCTCAGCCCATAACTCAACTAGAATTCAATGATCTAACTGACTATTGGAACAAGTTTTTGAAATTGCGGGTAACATCCGATATAAAAGACGGCTTAAAAACATACTTTTCCACTCATTAGTGCATTCGAATCGGAAAATCTCGTATAACTTTAGTAGATCCTTTCCCGCTGTACGATGAATACCTTTGTTGACATCTTTCTCATATAGAATGAAGAAAAAACATGAGTAACTCTTCCTTTCCCAGCCACGTCGGAATAAAATTTCATTGGGCTTCTATTGTAAATAACCTTTTGTCTCGTACCCCAAAATTTGAAATACTGTTTTCAACAAAAAAATGCACTAACGTTGTGGCAAATGTTTTAAAACGCGTATATGGTTGTGTATATCTAAGGGTGGCCCAAAGTGACCAAGCTTGAGAGCATCGACAATTTTTTCGAAAATGTTTCAAAAGTTTCTCAAAAGTTTTCGTAAATTTTTGAGCAAAACCGTGAAATTTTGGAAGATAAGGGGTGACGTTTGATGTTCATCAGTTCAATAAGAAAACTATCTACAGAACGAAAGAATTAGATTCGCGAGTACATGAACATTTCATTTAAAACAGTCAACATTGTCAACAAAATTATTCGCGTTTTTTATTTCTCTACATGTACACTTTTCGAACTCAGTAGCCTTCTATTACGTCCGGAAAATTATAGCTATGAGATTGGACTTGTAGTCTGGGTGGGTTTAGATTTGGGAGGGGGAGGAGGGAGAGGCGGGTAGATAAGCGTAGAGAAACAAAAGAATTTTATTCTAGCCTCACTGAAAGAACGGTCTTATTGCGTTGTTTATTTAGGTTTTTCAAATATTCAGGAATAAATTCTATCCAGTGGAAGCCAGTATTCGACAAAGCCATCTCGTTTCCTTCGATTCAATTAATCTTGCCATGATCTCGGAACAGCTCAATAACACATGGATCCTACGCTATATTCCAGCTAGCATCAGACAGAGAGATACTTGGTCATGTTCTTGTGATTCAGAAGATCCTTGTTGGATACCGTTGGGCTTCTATTCCTATTCATCTTCATATGTACAAACGGATCCCGTACCACATGGAAATATTGCTGGTTTCAACCTTGGTTGTCAATTTTTGGATTTTGCTTTTTCCACACTGGAATGTTTTTACAGTGCATCATGCATTCAGGTGCTGATCGATTCGCGTCTTTTGGGTTATGAAAATGTCTATTTACCAGTTGATTTGGGTAATATAAAGGCACTTGATCGAAACGGTAGAGGCAATTTTGAACCTTTTTATCCACTCAGTTATATGGTGCAAATGGCTTTTATTGATCAATGGATGTATACGGCAGATTATGCATCTTACTATGCTTCATGTCAGCCAGATAAGTGTACCTACACGATCGATCAGAAATTGCGTCCGATTGCTCTTGTTAACTCAGTTATTGGTCTCATTGGAGGACTGACTGTTCTACTTCGTCTCCTTGTTCCATCATTGATCAAAATTATTCACCAGATTTATTGTTTGTTACATCGTCGAACACTAGGTAACAAACTTTATTCTTCGATTATTCAAGTATCATGAACTATTCTAGATATTGCTGCATATAGGATATTGCTTGCCCGTGCTCGAGATAAGCTTCATCTTATAAATGTGTACCGAGAAAAACCTGAAGTCGAATATCAACTTTTGGCGACACGAATGTATCTTGTTCTACTACTTCTATCTTTCATGATCATCTCACTTTTCATACGATTTCAGCATCGTACACTATTATTAAGCGTAGAATCACCAAATGAAACTTACTTCGCATTTCTTCATACTCACTATTCTGACAGTTTATCGTGTCCTTGTGTAAACACCTCTATTCATTACAACAATTTTACAGAGTTTTCATTGGAATTTCATGAAGCCTGTGTTCAACTCCTGAACATACCGAATATTATGATGTTTTTACCACAACAGAACATATTCGGGGCCGAATCTGGTTGGAATCTCATCCGATCTCAAGTGCGTGCTCTAAACTACCGATGCGCTATCACGATGATTAGTTTAGGTATGATGTATGTCAGTTATATTCTGAAAAGTTTGATATCAACCGAAGTGATGGCGTTACAAACATTTGATGCAATGATCAACGTGTTAAAAACTAGGATGTTGAAGTATCCTTCACTTACAGCAGAGCATGCCTATGAGCGGATTTCCGATATGCTTCAAGCGAATCAATTTCAAAACGAATATATGACGAGCTGGGCTACCGAATTTTCGAGCTTAGACGAACATTACATTCTCCGTACTAGTCCAGTTTCATTGATCAATGGTAGTTGCTCTTGTGCAGGTGGCAAGTCGAATTGTACAAAGACGTTTATCTTTGACGATTCGAACGGTAGTTCAATTGTATTTCCAGGTAGGTTCTTTAATCAAGCCTCCTCGTACGATTCTATCATGTTAGAGTTACTTTTTTGAGATTTCCAAGAATGTTTAAAATTAAAAGATATTCCAAAAACTTTGGTCGTTATGTCTTATCTTTCATATATTTAGGCTTTGTCGTTGGATGCTCAGTCATGAGTAGTCTTTCTCATTCAACATTCGAGTGTTTCTATGATGATATTTGCATCGCTCAACTAAATGAAGCTATAAGTAGTTCGTTTACTAAATTCAATCATAGTGCAACACGATTTCTACCGACGACTCCAATCAACTTGATCATGAAAGAGCGTTTTATAGAGTCATGGAGTTATTCAGCCAATTATTCCAAATATTTTCAATTATGTGCTCCATCGAAATGTCAATATTATTATACCAAACAAAATAATGTTGTCTACATATTCACAACACTACTTGGATTGTATGGTGGACTGACTACAGTCCTACACATTTTTGTCTGGCACTCATTGCGTCTTTATCGAATCATTATCGGACGATATCCATATTCATTGCAACGCGTATCTCCGTCGTCCTAAATCCAAATGAACCGCCTAGAACATCAGCAATGTTTCATTTGCAACTAACGGAATACTCTCGATTTTCGATATTGTATGTTTTTATCTGCTTTTTTCAAGCATGAAACTTGGCAGCGGGAGATCACTGGCTTTGCTTTGCTTTTATTCGGCTTGTTGTGCATGCAAAAGAGCCTGATTTCGTGCAATAAAACCTAATTTCATATTGCATTTCTATTTTGCTTGATGTTCATCTACATCAATCAGAATCATATGTTAGAAATTATCGAATTCACGTAACCGTAAGTTGATTGTATCTAGAGAATCAGTTGAAAAACGAAGTATAACTTATTGAATTATCAAAGATGATTGACAATTTTTGTGGCTTGTTTCAATAACTAAACAGATGTGCCGATCTTTCTTTAATAAGTTGAAATTTAAACGCTAAGAAAATTATGAAACCTATTAAAGTACTGGTTCTCTCGTGTCTCCAAGAGATACTGTTGAAAGAAGCCAACTGACTCGAACTCGAATAATTGCTGTGCTCTTTCCTCGAGATCCATAGATGCATGCTGAACATCAATAAAAGTTGACAGGATGTAATGTTTGTCTTTCCTTCCGTCACATCCACACTCTCTTATTTCTCAATCAAATCTTGTCAAAAAAAACAAAGTATGAAATCCATGATCAGCGCAACAAACTCCATCGAAATAGATATAAAATAGCAAAATTAAAGATCAAACATTTCTTTCCATTCCTTCAGGATATCCCAGAGGCACAGCAAATTGAAAAATAAAATATCAAAGTTTTGGCTAGGGGTGGCACTTTATCTTTACTTTACCGAGTAAAGTACAGTTACTCCACTTAACTTTACCCGGTAAAATAAAGTCTTGAACTTTGCTTTATCCGGTAAAGTAAAGTATTTTTGTATTTTATTTGAAAAAGTAAAGTTGAAAAGTTCGATTTTTTAATTTATCCATGAAAAATATTGCTTTCTAATTTTACTTTACTTTTTCAAAGTAGAATAAAGATAAAGTGTCACCCCTAGTTTTGACACGCCAGAAAGACTCGAGAGGATGTTCTGATTAATACACATATCAGACTGCAATAAAATTTCGTAAGGGTGGGGTGAGGGTGGGTGGGTATGGGTGTGGGTGTCAGCGTGGGTGTGGGGTATGGGTGTGGACGGGCGTGAGTTGGTGTGGGTATGGGTGAAGAGGAGCTCAACATCGACATCCACACCTCACACCCACACCCTCCTTCATAGTGTACCATCATTTCCAAATTGGATCGATCGTAAACATGGTTACTGCTCAATAGAGCAATCTTGCGATCGACTATTAAAAACGTCGAAGAAATACTCCCCTAATCATCTGATGGTAAGTGTTGATTTCCATCGAGATACTGGGTAGTTCATCGAACATGGGAATATCCAAATGTGCCCATTTGCTAGGTGGCAGAATGGCGTGAAAATGCGCCAAGTATGCCGTTATTGGATGATCGATCATGAGCTTGACGATAACATGACGTTTTTCTCGAGTAGCACGTTTGCTTAAATCCCACAAGGCCTTGACGATCATATTTACAGCTTCGCCCTTCTCCCACCAGCATGTTGCCAATAGAACTTCTTTCTGAGCGTGTACAATAACGTGATAGTAGTGACAAATAATTTCCGGAATTGTAGAAATAATTGTTCGAGGAATAGCACGAGGCGCACCAACTACTCGTGGTGACACATAATCGGCCCATGGGTCACATTCGAGCGTACAAATCACACCGTAAAATAGCTAAAAGTCATACAAGAATTTTTTTTACATAATCGATGAAGCACATGCTCTGAGAAAGAGATCTATCGGACGTTGAGAAAATCGTCCGTATTGCGTGGCAGCATCCTTCGGAGATTTGACGTTCGAGTGTCCGGAAGCATACAGAGACGTTACAGTTTCGTTAATGCCATCGGAAATCGAACGTAGATATTTTGGATCGCGTTCAAGATCTTCTTCGAACGCTACGATTGTTGAAGAGACGTCCATTGAATGAAACAAATAATGATGAATGTATTACTCACTCTTATTGACGCTTTTTTTTCTTTTTTTCTCCGACGAGTGCAAATAAGAATACATATGCGTATGTGTGTCGGTGAGAGCAAGCGTGCTAATAATGCTTGACGTCAAAAGCAGATTTAATGAATAAGGGGCGGGTCATAGAATGTTTTCATTAGTCATGTATCTAAAAAAAGCTTGCAAAGTGTAGGAATGCATGATAAAAGAATAACTAGTCAATAGCTTGCATACAAAGTCAAAGAGTACAGCAAAAACAGTGCAAAGTAGTGCATCGATGCATTCTCATCCAGAAATGTGCAAAGCATGGGTATAGCATGTGAAGTATGAAGAAAATGAGTAAAATCTTAGAGTACCCTGTTTTTCTCCAGATTGGTCAAAGTGATTTCAGTTATTTCTCTTCTCTGTTTGTTAGGGTGCTACCGAAACCGGAACAACTATTAAAAACTAGCATTCACAAAAAACTTTCTGTACTATTTCTATATGCATTGAAATGTGTTCATATAACAACCCTTTACTTTCAATAACTGTTTTCGTATATAATTAACAAAAAATAACAAATATATATCAACAAAAAATTAGAAAAGTTCATTCATGGTTCATTAAATCATAATTAAATTATCACAACCATCATTTTCTTTATCATAAAAGATGCTATTATCAAGATTATCTTGCAAAATAGTTTTTAATACTTGTTCAATTGATGACGAAAATAGTTCTGTTAATGTTCATAAATTTCGAGGTATATATAATAATGGATTTGGTTTATTTGTTTGCAAATGTGTAAGACGATTTGTTATTGTATTTCCACTGTCTGAAAAAACATCTTCTACAGATGTATGAGTTCCAGGAATAGAGAGTACACGTTGAGCAATTGTAGTCAATGTAGAATATAATCATTTATTATTAATCCAGTATATTTAAACATTCATATCTTTGTCTATTTTTTTGTCCACCTTCAATATATTTGACAAATTCAGTTTTTATTTGTCTATCATCTTGTTATTCATCTGATGCCGTTGATAAATCAAATAAATATAGGATGCGTGGGTATGGTCGTAGGAATGGGGTGCATGACTGCAGAGGAGACCAACACATCCACACCACGGTTAAAATCGAAATAAAGCAAGTTTTCGTTTAGAAATACACTGTGCTTCTCATGGATTTACCTCAATGGAAAAATTTTTCGCCCCAAGATATCGGATTGTGCATGATGATCATTATTCAATTCAAATACATTAAAGTATATTTTTTATATATAATACTAAATTTTACTTCCTTTGACTTTCAGTGAATAAACAGATAAGAGAAACATATGCTTCAACTGGAAATCGAACCCATGACTAAGACTGGTTAACAAGACCAGTGCTCTAACCATTGAGCTATCGAAGTACAGCGAACACATATTTTTCTTTCTGAATGATATTTAATCATCGAAAGTTTTTACATCGATACGATGTGTACGATGCACTTGGATATAGCGAAGCTATTTCTAACCAAATGAAGATGATGGAAATTTTTCTCCTCTTTCGAAGGTCAACATAACTATTCAAAGGATAGAAAAGGAGTATATGTAATTTTCATATGCAATACTAAGCTTTTATAACCCTTGACTTTTGACGATTAAATATCATTCAGAAAGAAAAATATGTGTTCGTTGCGCTTCGATAGCTCAATGGTTAGAGCACTGGTCGTGTTAATCAGTTTTAGTCATAGATTCGATTCACAGTTGAAGCATATGTCTTTCTTATCTGTTTATTCATTGAAAATCAAAGGAAGTAAAATGTATTATTGTACATAAAAATTACATATATTCCTTTTCTATTCTTTCAATGGTTATTGAAGTATATTTTGTTTGTTTGTTTGACTCAACAAGCAGTTCAACTTATCTCTTATTAATCTTATTTTAATTTCGACAATCTAGACTAATGAAACTCATTATGACACGAGTTATTTTTTTCTAACTGAATTGCAATTTCTGAAATAATCTTCAAGTGATTTGGAAGAAAAAAATCTTTATAAACGGATTACGTTCGAATCCGGATCGGGTGGAGCGGGGATAGAAAAATCGCTAGATCAGGCTGAGTCATGAAAACATGACCCGTTTCGAGGCCTGTTACAAACTCCAAACCGTAAATTTAGCGAATTGGATAAACAATGTAACCATCATATATTGTTACGAATGATGATTGTACCTAGTTAATATGATAAAATAATAATTTTTTACCTGATTCCAGTGACAAAGATGCTCAAATACAGATAATGACAGACCGATAGGCACCCTGAACGTTTTTCGTACTCTTTCAGACAATATTTCAGAGATATCAATATGTAAAGTTACAATTATTATTACAAAAGTTAAAAAAATACGTCATTCAATTAACGAAGTTACAAGTTATTCATGCGGATATACTCTGGTTTTTATTTAAAAATACTGATATGTTTTCTCAATAGATGAATGCATTCAAACGATGGAATACAATAAAATTTACTTGAATGTCACTTGAAATTCGATATTTTGTCGTACATTAGATAATTCCTGCTGAATTCTCTCAATATTTTCTGTTAATCGTATGTCTTCTGATGTATTTCTTATTATCTTTATTCTTATTTTCTCCAATTGATGACATGCCGTTACGAGACTTGTCCATTCCTTGACATCGAATAATCTATCAACATTGATACTATCGATAATTAAACCAACGTGTCGAACATTTCGCATAATTTTTATAAAATCAGTTATTGCCATCAAAAAACATGTTGCGTAATATTGTGCACAATTCTTTATAAATCCCATAGAAGCATGAGCTACATTGAGTACAAAATATTCGACAGTTTCGTTTAGGTTTTTTATTTTTTTTAGCATTATCGATATGTGGCGATGAGGACAACGTAGATAACCACAATGAATTTTGAATCGTTTCATAGGTTGTTCAATATAATTAAAAACTTTACATACACTATGAAAATCAACTTCGTGATCATAGCGAAGAGAAAGACCAGCTAAATTGGGAAGACGTGTTTTAAATTCATTGACATGATTTACATGTTGAAGATTGAGAAGAGTAACGACTATTACATTATGAAAAATAGATGAAGAAGTTGATTCCATTATTGATCGAATTTCATTCCCTTTGAGACGTAAAGAAATAATTTGTTCGCGATTAATATTTTTAATCATATTCTCCATAAATCTATTAGTAGGTTCAACAATAGGCAATATCATTTTACATTTCTCTAATAAAGGAAGAATGTCATTAGAAAATATAGTAACAACATCATTTAATGATAAATATTTAACTATTTCAAGAACGACGTCCAAACAGAGTCCGGTCTTTCTCATGAAGTCAAATGACTGAAACAAGATTCATAATAGAAACATGAAACAAATAAAAAAATACTCACAAGATACTGCTCGTTCTCATCAAATTCTTCTTTAAAGGTTATCAACATATCTAAGAATGCATCACGATTGAATTTTATATTAGTCTGCATTAAAATATCATCTTCGAGTAGTATTTTAAATTCATATGGACATATTGAAAATGAATTATTGTCTCTTGAAGCTCTTCGCATAACACCAATAAGCATCGGACATTCTTCCATTGATAAGTCGATGCCAAAATGACTGGAAAATGTTTCTCTCCAGATGTCGATCAATCTTTGTAGAAAAGATAAAAAAAAATTAACAAAAAAAGCTTATTGACATGCCATCAATTGGTTACAAACATCTTTTTATTGGATTCTTCAGTAATATCCCATGGCCAGATAATATAATTCTCAAGTAAATACTCGACAATAATCTCTGAACCAAATATATTCAAACAAAACATCTGAGTCGACATGCTCAGGTTATGATGTATATAAATGAGTAATGGACGACGCTAAAATACGTCAGACTATGCGTTTTGTACAAATATGAAAATAGATAAACACGAACTTCTTTAACCATTGTTGTATTAAATGCTGATACCAATGCTTCTTGCAAGGAACTAATACAAAATGCAGGTTGTATACCGTAATGATTGACGAATCGTTTGCATAATAATTCAATAGCATTTACTTCATATCGACATTCAGCTACTACTGGCAATAATGTCATAGTACTCAATTCTACTTCTTTGATTATAAATAAAAGACAACTTACAAGAACCGTGATTGACAAGATCAGCTTCACTATGAGAAGTATCCTTGTTGACCATTTTAGTTTTTCTACTCTCGCTTAATTTATATATCGAAATCTCTTTTATACTTCATTGAAAAACAATTGATAACACAAGATACATTTTACTTATAATAATATAAGAGAAATTACTTACCACAAGAATTGTCTATTCTTTGATTATAAAAATAAGAGATCTTCGAAAATAAAGATCTATACTTTAATAGTGATTGTATAGAGAAAATATACGATCATCTGCATTTTGTTTCTTCTTTTTATATAGAATAGCTGCGGTAAAAACCTACTTTATTTTCCTGACATCATTGCATGACGTGTCAACGTGATATAAGACGTACAGGTAATCAAAAAACAGAACAAAAAAAAACCAACTGGAGGTTTTTTCTTTTCTTACTTCCCAACTTGAACTCAACAAAAATAAAAAGTAAAGGTTTGAAAAAAGATAAAAACAATGAAACAAAACAAGAATTAAAAAAATAGATTGAAATTTAATCGTTTCCTGCACCTAATGCCACATTTTCTGAACTTTTCATGTTGTTTCTTTCTGTCAATCGATCGTTTTTGTAAAATATCTTCAGTTCTTCAGTTAAAGGTGTCAGCCAATGAATTGAAGGGAAACGTTGAAGATGACTAAGAGATGATGTGGGTAAAGGGAAGATTAACACACACACACGACCACATGATGTGTATCACGGCAGTGATAGACTTTTAACAGAGCGAGAAACAATAGGCATTTCAGTTTTGTAGTCTCTTGAAACATTGAAGTCATTGTTTTTCCTTTTGCTTGTAACAATCATTACGAGACCAGAACGTCAGCTATTTATTCAAAGGCATTGGAAAATTTATGCCACAAATGTCATATATATATATATATATATATACTTAGTGAAGCTTATGAGTAAACAATAGCAGTTGCAGGTTAGTAGAATGATGACATCAACTATGGAAATAGTTTTCGAACATTATGATAGTAGTGACCAAAATAAAATGCGAAAAATATCGACCTCCTTATCTTTTAAATTATAGCAGCAAGAAACTCATGATCTGTTTTGTTGTAAAATTAAACCTAGAAGATGTTATTAATATTACTCCATTATTTACGAAATAGTGGAATGATAGATTAAAGATTAGAGTTTTTTCGATTGACTATATTTCAAAAGTTTTCATTGATCGTTTTTGTGTTCATGTGTAAATCTGATCACTAAATACTTGGTTTTCATTTGATAGCATTTTTTAATTTTGTCGTTTCTTTTTGGGTGGCAGACAACATCGCTAGTACAGTTTTAGCAAATTCAAAAAATATTTATCCATTCCAGGACGATCGATCCGACAACTGGGTCATATAGAACCCTATGTGATCCCCATTGGAATATTGATGACGAAGTCGTTCAGAGATCCTAAGATCGAATTTAGTTGTTCTTTGAAGATTCATACAGGATCTTACATGATCTTGGAAAAGTCAAATGAACACTTTCGAGAAGCTATGTTCTCTACAAGGCTTATATCAAGTCTTGGTATCCGATTCATACCAGATCTGATTGTTTCATAGGACCTCAACACTCAGGTCAAACAAACAGACACTAAGATCTGAAAAGATTCTGCATCTCATCTTGCAAGATCTTGTAAGATCAGACGAAAAATTGTCGTCTCAGACATCTTACATCAATTCGTACTGTAAGATTCTTGACAGATCTTGTTGTCCTGTCAGATCTTATTATAAGACTATAAGAAATCTTATTGAGCAGTAAGATCTTTCCAGAATTTTATAGTACGATATTATGCAAGATTTCTGAAACGACGATTTTTTGTACGATTTTCATATGATTTCGTCTGGTCCGCAAGATCTTACTATCTGATTTCTCGACCTGGACAGCCTTTAGAAGAGATTATGCAAGATCGTATAGATAATATGATCTTGAAAGAATCGGATACCAAGACTTGATGCAAGTTTTACAAAGCCCAGGTCAAACAATCAGACTGCAAGATCTTGATCAGATTCTTACAAGATTTTATGTTCTGATCCTACATATCTAGATAATATAAGAAGCCATCCGAAAAATACGAGTTGTGAATGCATTACATAAGTTTCCATTGCATTATTATACAACATCAATATAAATGCTTGGAGATTACATTGACCTCAGGATCCATTTATTGACAATATCGTATGCCATATGGATACAAGGCATTTTTTGTTTTCTTTCCTTTTGTCTTCTTTGTGTGTATCTTTTGCTTTTTACAGCGAGCTCTTAAAAAGATATCCTTTGAAAGTTGAATTTATCAATTCTTGACTAAACAAGAATCAGTGAGAAACTATTCTTTTCCGAATAAAAACTCTACAAACTAATTTCCAATTTTCTCATTTTTTTCTTCTATTTCATGACAAAAGGTAACTCACGATGCAAGCGCCGTCTTTTGCATCAACAACAGATCCACAATCTTTTTCTCTGCATGGAGTTGTTTGCCAATGATAATACGATGACATCAACAAATCAAAATAATATTAAAAAACTTTCGTATTTCTTTTCAACACATTATTAATTCAGGCAATCAATATTTATTCATTCACTGAAAAATATATACTCCTTTATTCAATAAATAAGTACAGATGTGTGTGGTTGCGCGTGTGGGTATGCGTCTGGATATGGGTATGACTGAAAAAGGCCAACATTGACATCCACAAGGCATGGATGTAGCAGAGGTGGCTATGGCTGTCTTCTTTCATTCCACACACCTTATTTGATCGAGATCTGCCACAGGTCTAGTTTTCATTGAATAAGTGATTGATCATTATTAATGCAATTTTCACACAGTAAATTAATTGAATGAGGCGCTAAAAGCAAGAATTGCTTTTTTTGCTGTTTTTGCTCCAGAAACGAACCGATATCTGTTGTTAAAGCGAAGAGATTTAAATTTAAAGAGTTACGGGAGAATAAAGGTATCGTTGAAATCGTTTACTACGATATATCTAAAGGCAATGATGAAAAACATCAGTATAGTATCAAATAAATGAGTTAACAAAAGAATCCTGTTATCATAAAACTAAATAAACAGACAAAGCACAAGATGATAAGTTCGATAATCCAGTGAAAGATAAGATTTTTATTGTCGTATACTGTCAAGCAAATAACGTGTTCATCGGCGGCATTCAAGTAACCAAATGAATCAAGGAGAATTGAAATAATAGGATCGTGAAAGACAACGATCTTCTCTTCGATCTAAAATTGATTATTTAAGTCTATGATGAAGTTGAATATCGCCGTAAAATTTATTTAGCAAGAGTGCTAGAAAAGTGTACGATGTTTTGATTGATTAATAAGAATTCTACTAAGTGCACACGATGAACTATTTCAAGCAACATAATTGAGGCTCACCTAATTACAACACTTTTCTTATTACTTAACGGAGTATACTGAATAGTTTGAACAATAAATTAACACGTCACAGATTTTTACATTGAAATTTAAGGTAATCTCCAATTCTTCATACAGATAGCATTACTTTATCAGCAGCCATTGTTTTCCAATTGTCAGAATGATAGATATTGAAACAAAGAAGTAATCAAATATACATATAGACGGTCGATGAAGATGCTTGAAGAATTTTGAACCGATTGGACAAAGGTACAGAACAGAAGCACAACCAAATATCATCGAACCAATAAATAAATTCAATGCAATACCGAACATTCTGTAGATCCAAATGTGAATGATAATATTTTGCAGATGAGCAATCAAGTTAACAGTAAGGAATTTGGAAAGAGATGACTCTTGACTCAACATGAAATCAAGATAATGCCAATTGTTTTTAGGTTGATATTTCCAATTGATACTTGGAATAACTTTTCGACCCAAATATGAAGATACAAACTTTCTAAACGATAAACCCCATTGATGATCGTTTCGGCCATTTGCCATAAACTTTGTTTGTCATTATCGGATGATGATTGTAAAACAAATGATGCATTTGTTAAGTATTTGAGTCCATCGATAAATGCAATCATATCGTCTACTCTTCTGACCGATACATCTAATTGTTTGATACACGGGAAAAGACGACAAATTCGGCTAAAAATATAACGATTGGTAACCACATAGAAATTGCATATGGTCAGTTTACGAATTTTTTCAAGTCGCATATTTCGAGTAAGTTGAAAAAAATCAGTAAAATTTTGATCGACGCTCTAAAATCATTCGTATAAGTCAAATAAATTTAATTCAATTTTCGTAGGCAAACATTATTCTCACTCAAGAATAAGAATGAGGTCACTATGTCTTATTGATGCTTATTCTTTGTTAGCTTTAAAAAGACTTTTAGTAAATGAATCTTGATTCTAGACTTTCCTCTTCAAAAATCGGCCTTGGATGAGTTATAATAAGATCATATGAAATTTTTAGGGTTTATTAACCGTGTGATTAGTGGTGAGAGTATGACGAAATTTTCAATAGTTTATAATGATGTTTTTAGGCGATATTCAACAAAAAAGGATAAAAAATAGTTCATTTGAAAGTCCAAAATTCTATGTAGATCTTCATTCTAAATGCTGTTTTTTTTTCTTTTTCTCAAAAAAAGATGTCAGAATAGGTATAATGGTATCTTTCAAACAAAATAAAAAGTTATATCATTTATGAAAGATCAGAACTTGGGCTATCTTCTCATGCACTTATCTCAATTTTTAATGTCTTTGACATTCTATTTGATTATCCATGTTCTATCGCCGAATACCTTACTCAAATAGTTGACTCAGTCGATATCGAGGCTATTGATTCTTCCTATTAAACTAAACTTGGCTAATATTTAGACAATACGAAAGTGTTTAATGTCATCGAAATTGAAGAAAAAGTTAAACTTACACTCCTAATTGAGAGATTTTCGAGACGAGGCATATTGTTGAGAAGGAATTGGATATTGTCGTCTTGTAT